TTTTGCCCACCACATCTTGATGTAAATTGTCGTTATTAAAGTACAGGACGCTGCCCTGGTCTTGCACTAATGATCCCCAGGTGTCTGGAGTCAATGCATGGCTCCATTCCATCCCTACACCATGTCCCATGCCTTGCATGTGGTTTGAGTCACCAGTCAGGTGACACTTGTCCCTACATCTCCAGGCCACCTCAGGACTTCCTTCCCTTGTTGGGGTTTTAGCCTTCCCAGCTTCCTCCCTGCTACTCTGGTTGGTTGCAGAGGGCTCCAGCCCCTGTCTGCTGTCCTGCTCCAGGCTCTGGGCTCTCTGCCTCCCCACCCACCCCAAATGCTGCCCTACTTAGGTCTCTGGCCCCAAACACTGCCCTGATCCAGCCCTGGGCTCCAGCCTTGCTCCCAAGCCTCTGGTTGTGCCCGAAACCTACCTCCAGCAGGGCTCAAGGCAATCAGGTCAATGGGACCTCCAAACCACTCCTTGTCCCAATTCCAAACCACAAGTATAATTTAAAGCAAAACCTTTCAGCCTTCTGGTAGGCACCAAACCCCCACCGGGCTTAACATAAAATTAAGGCCACCAGCCTGCATAATGAGTCTCTCTCTTTGCTCCTAAGCAACTCTCCCTTGCTCCCAGGCCTGCAGCCCTGCTACTTCCCACTGTAGACTCAGGGGTCCTGCCACGTCACCATCAGGAGCGCCGCACTCCACACCGCTCAGGGCTGGCCACCTTGACTGGGTAGTCGGGGCTTATATAGCTCGAGCCTGAGCCCTCTTCCAGTCATGGGATGCCCCCGACTACAGGGCTACCCCTTAACACCCCGGGGCCGTGCTGCTCTTCAGTAACAGGGTCAGGGTTCCCCGATGCTTGTTACCTGCACTGGGTGCTAATTATGAGTGGTAGAGATGGGAAGGTGGCTGCTGCACGAGTTCCTGAGCTTATATGGCCTGGGGTGCTGGGAGGAGAATAGGGGGAAGTGCTCCAAATACCCTGCAGGAAGGGATGGGGCCTGATGGAGGGCAAGCTGAGGAGTTTTTGGTGGAAACGGGCCACATGTATGCACTGGAGGGCAGATCTAGGGGCTGCCCTCTCTGCCTTTACTGCTGTCTGTCATGGCACTGACCCCTCCACCACTCCAGACACTGATGGGTGCCCAGGGAGCTGCAATGGGCTGCTCCAGGGTCTCCCTGGGTCCTGCCTTGCCTTCAGTCTTGGTCCCTCTTACCTTGGATGGCTTTCAGACTGACCTCCACCTGCCATCATTATTTCTGGCTTGTGGCCCTTGTATCAGCATCCTACTCCATCCCTGAACACTCGGCTGGACCCACACAGCCCCGTCCTGACGTGGGTGTCTTGCCTGCATATAGCAGTCTGGGGTAACGATAGCATCTTCTACAACTATAAGACTCCCCCATGCAGTTTCAGTTGGAGCTGGGATTCTTCTTGCCCTTCTGCAGGGTTGCTGCGTGCTTTCAAGCAGGGGCACAGTAAAAGTGGTGTGTATTTTTATAGGGAGAGAGAAACTCTGGTGACATACACGGTGTCTCCGAAGGCAATGAAAGCCATGCAGTTGATAGCAGACTTCAGTCTTGTAGAGCCCAGTGCTACGGAGAGCCGAGCACTCAGACGCAGCTAGAGCTTCTGAGAGTGGGAGGCACCAAGAGCCTTGCTGGAAGAGGTTTTATGCAGGTAAACTCTTTGCAGAGCAAAATGCACTCCTCTTGAAGCAGCCTTCTCATAGTACAAGTCCAAACTTGTACTATGCCCCTCTTGTATCGTAGGGCAGCCACAGGCTTTGATCTCCCATGAAGAGATCCATTTCTGAAAAGCTCCCTGCCATTAGCCTTGTGCATATATATATGCACAAGGTCCCATTACAAGCCCACAGACATATATATATATATATATATATATATATATATATAATTACACACACATGTGCACCCACACACACTTTTAGGTAACAGAAATAAGTTGAGCAGGTGGTGTCAGTGTGGGATAGGTAGTGGGCGAGAGCTATGGAGTTTTCTATGCCAATAGGTAAAAGGCTGGAGTCTTTCACTGTTCATGTCCAGACATCAGAAAGTTTAAAGATCTTTTAGAAGATGCAGAATTTTGATAGACAAATACATGTTCTGTTAGGAGCCAGCAGGACTAACCTAAGTGCCTGTGTAAGGGCATTTATTTCATTTGCTCCTTTTGGCTGATAATCAGAAGGCTATCAGAGAACTGTGAGCTGCACTTTCCAGTCAGTCCCAGTTGCAAAATGCAAGGTGTTTGTCTCCAACGGGGAAGAAAATGCAACAGTATAATTAAAACCTGCCTTGGGAGAAGTGTGACGTGGCTCGTCTTTCCCCTCTGCTGCATCAGGAATGGGAAAGACAAAATTAAGTCTTCGGATAGACAAACTGCCCTTCTCTTCTCCGATTCTCCAGGGGTTTGCTCAAAACCCCCAAACCCCCGGAGAAGAGGAGAGTAGTTGTTCCTGGCACACATGCTGTTCTGGAAATGGGTTTTAAGGTCATGTGTTAGCCACGTTGTGTCTCTCAATGGGTCCTTGGGATGGGTGAAAGAATACGCAGGCAATTTTTTGCAAACTCGGTGCAACCCATCGGCTCCCCAGGCCCCAGCGGAGATTTGCAGTTGTGCTTTCCGCCGGTAGCGTTTTGTCCTGTGTTTCAGTGCAGCTTCTGGCTTTCAGCAACGACCCGGCTTCTTTGTTAGGATGCTCTAATCCAATTTTTCAACTGAGGATTGACTGGGATACTGAGAGGTCAAGCGCCTTGCCTGGGGTTGGAAACTGAATCGAGTGACTCAGCTGGAAAGGGAGAATCTGAGCCCAGGGCCTGTCTGCACGGTAAACCAGAGCAAAGGCCTGGCAGCCAAAGGCAGGGTCTTTTGTTGCCCCCACGGACTGATACCAACAGGCCAGTCTCTCCCCTGCTAAGGTCCCTCTGCTCCTCTGGTGGCTTAAAGCAGCCTGAAAAGGGCAGAAAGCAGGCTCCAGGAATCCTCCCCGTCTCGGGGACCTTTCCCCATCAGTATAGAGCGACCAGACTGGTCCTGAGTTGGCCCAGCTCCCAGCCCCTGGCCTAAGTGGTACGACGGGATGGAGGCACATGGCCAGAGGGCACTGCCTACTCTCTATCTGCCCAGGAGAGTGTAACTTAGCCAGGCAAACCAGGGCCTGCTGCATCCTTCTCTGAGCTGCCTCACGTGCAGACCCATCCTGCCGGCTCCCCCTTTGGACCCCCGGTGACTTCCTCTCCCTGCCCCACAAGCCCCACTAGGAGAGCCCTAAAACCTTTTCAGGCCCCCACCATAATCCTAACCTTCCCTATGTTAATCCTATAAACCCTCGGTAAATCCCGTCTGCCTGCCTGCCTCATTCGCCGTCTCTGCTTGGAGCCGCGGCTCCCAGGGTCTTTCCGTGCAGGCTGTTTTCCAGGTGCAGAGGCAGCAAGGGGCTGCTTCTGGACCACCTTAGCATTTGCCGCTTGGCTTGACTGTGCCTCTGGCATGACTAATACTGGATCAGTCTGTAAGTCCTGGCAGAGCCTTCTGTAAAAGCTCTCTGGGCAGCCATGCTCTCAGATCAAATGTGGGCCCTCTCCTGCTCCACCAAGGCAGGTCCCAGCTCTGAAAACCCTTTCCATGCCCATCTTCCATTAGAAACTTTCAGTGGGGGTACAAAGGGCAGCTGGGCACTGCTCAGTGGGACAGCAGAGGGGAAGATTAGCCCCAATATCTATGTGCCTTAGCCTCCCTTTTGTAAATACAGGGGGCGAAATGCTGCAAAATCCTTGCTATTAGATATTAGTTATTTCCTTAAAGAAAATGCACAATAGGGAACAGACCTGTGTCAACTCCAGAGGAGGGATTAAAGGACATCCCAGGATTTCCCTGCCTCCAAATCTGGCTCTCAGAGAAAGTGCATGGCTTCTTAGCAAAAACTGTGCTCCCACCTTACACACCGTATCACTCCAGGGGCCTGCACTCTTGTCCATAAGTGTCACATAGGCACTTGTGTGACACTTGTCCATAAGGGTCACACCACCAGCTTTGAAGGGTTGGGTCCAAAAAGGGGCTAAGCCATTCTTAGAACAAAATCTGCAGTTCAAGTGATGAGGATGAAACTGCAAAGCAAGATGTTCCCAATAGTTCGGGGTGTAAGGAGAGCACCAGCATGGCACTTCCTTGGAGGGTGGATTACTGGAAGCTCGAGTACGCAATACGGGTATTGTGCCATTTTGGAGACTGCCAATCAACCACTTCTTGTGTTTTCTGGCAAGATTAGTTACTCTCAGCACATAAGTTTAAACCCCCGAGGCCCTCGAGCTTGCACGTACATTTACAGCTACGATTAAGCAAGCCCCGATATAGACGTCTACCTGCTAGTTAAGGAACGGTGGTAAATGCCCGTGTAAGTACAGGAGTTCGGATGAGGACACATCCCAGACTCTTAACAACCAAATGCATCTGCGTCCATGTGGTCTGTATTTCTCTATCGCTGCTTCCTCCTGCTGCTCTCTGAATGAAAGGCACCGTGTATATAAATAAGTGCATTATTATGCATCGCCCAGATTTGATCCCTGTGGAAGTAGGCTACCAAAAAGCGGGGATTTTAGCCTCTTCTCAGATAAGAGTTCCCCTTCTCCAGCTCCTCACTTGCTTCCCTTTGCATGGGAAGTGCTAAAAAGCGGCAAGAGATGCTGGGATGCCCAAGCCAACGTCTGTTGTTTCCAGGCTGCAGCTGAAATGCATCCCGAAAACTTTATGGAGGTCTCTCTTCCTCCTGCCTCCTCACTGTGCTGGCTGCCCGCAGAGATGGGCTTGTCCTGAACATGCTTCTTGGGGTTGCAGAAGCGTGGATCTGGACTTGCTGCTTCAACCCCGCTGGCTCCCCCCTAATAAATAGCTTGGTGATTGCTGCGCTCCTGCATGTGACCCCCCCAGGGTAGTCTGTAAATCAAGCTCTCTGTTCTCTCTTGGTCTCTGTTCGCAGGGACATACCAGGGCCAGTGGGTCGGCGGGATGCGCCAAGGCTACGGCGTCCGGCAGAGCGTTCCCTACGGCATGGCTGCGGTTATCAGGTCGCCCCTGAGGACGTCCATTAACTCGCTGCGCAGCGAGCACACCAACGGCACGGCGCTGCACCCCGACGCCTCGCCCGCGGTGGCCGGCAGCCCCGCCATCTCCAGGGGCGGCTTCGTCCTCATGGCCCACAGCGACGCCGAGATCCTCAAGAGCAAGAAGAAGGGCATCTTCCGGCGGTCCCTGCTGAGCGGGCTCAAGCTGCGCAAGTCCGAGTCCAAGAGCTCCCTGGCCAGCCAGCGGAGCAAGCAGAGCTCCTTCCGCAGCGAGGCGGGCATGAGCACCGTCAGCTCCACTGCCAGCGACATCAACTCCACCATCAGCTTGGGAGAGGGCGAGGCAGAGCTGTCCGTCATCGAGGACGACATCGATGCCACCACCACCGAGATCTACGTGGGCGAGTGGAAGAACGACAAGCGGTCGGGCTTCGGGGTCAGCCAGCGCTCGGACGGGCTGAAGTACGAGGGGGAGTGGGCCAACAACAAGCGCCACGGCTACGGCTGCATGACCTTCCCGGACGGCACCAAGGAGGAAGGGAAGTACAAGCAGAACGTCCTGGTCAGCGGCAAGCGGAAGAACCTCATCCCGCTGCGGGCCAGCAAGATCCGCGAGAAGGTGGACCGGGCCGTCGAGGCAGCGGAGAGGGCGGCCACCATCGCCAAGCAGAAAGCGGAGATCGCGGCGTCCAGGTAAGGCGAGCTCCTGGCCACCGATGCGAGGTGGCACGAGGGGTTTGAGTGGAGGCCGGTCTGACAAGTGCCCTGTGTTTTTAAACTGAGGCTGCTGGGGCCCGTTGTTTCTTCAGGCGGGCTCAGAGCTGCTGAATGAGTGAAGTCCTGGGCTGGGCTTTCCAATACCAGCACGAGATGACTGCCTGGCCAGACCCAAAGCAGCCAGTAAGGTCATCCCTCGCCGCTGAGCCAGAGGGTTTGCTGAGGCTGTGCCCAGCAACGCTACTTCGCTGCCAGTTGCCCGCCATTCACATCGAAAGGGTTCGGTCCTGCAGTCCCAATGCCAGCAGCCTTCATAAGGAAGTGCTTGCTTCCCAGTGCAACTTTGCCCAGTTTTGCACAGGGGCAGCTCACTTGGCTCACGTCCCCTGCTTTGGTGACCGGTTCTGTCATCCGGGCTACTGCTCTTAGAGTCTAACACGTGTGTGCGATGGCATGCCCGTGCATGGAAGGGTCTGCACAAAACGGGGGGCCGTGTTGCGGTGGGACTGCAAATCTGGACAAGGATGGTTGAGGGAATGGAGTACGGGTTCATTGGCCACCTGGCAATATAACACGTCCACTGTCCCAGCACAGGCTGGGTTTCATTAAATTAGGGGTGGATGCTTCTGGGACGGTCTCAAGTTTATTTATTTCCAAGCCCTGGTCAGGGAGAATCATAGATATGCGGGTTGAAGGGACTCAGGAGGTCACATCTAGTCCAACCCCTGCTCCAAGCAGGACCAGCCCCAACTACATCATCCCAGCCAAGGCTTTGTCTAGCTGGGTCTTCAAAACCTCCTAGGATGGAGATCCTACCACCTCCCTGTTCCAGTGCCTTACTACCCTCCTTGGGAGAAAGTTTTTCCTAATATCCACCCTCAACTTTCCTTGCTGCAGCTTGAGCCCATTGCTCCTTGTCCTGTCATCTGCCCCCACTGGGAACAGCTTGGCTCCGTCCTCTTTGTTACCACCTTGCATTCAATCCCCCTCAGTCTTTTCTTGTCCAGACTAAATAATCCCAGGTCCGTCAGCCTCTCCTCACAAGTCATGTCCACCAGCCCCACAACTATTTCATTGCCCTCCGCTAGACTCTCTCCAGTTCGTCCACATCCTTTCTGCAGTGGGGGGCCCAAAACTGGACACAGGACTCCAGATGTGGCCTCCCCAGTGCTGAATACAGGGGAAAATCACTTCCCTCGATCTATTGGCAATGCTCCTGCCAATGCAGGCCAGGATGCCGTTAGCCTTCTTGGCACCCAGGGCACACTGCCAGCTCATAGTCACTTATTGTCCACTGTAACCCCCAGGTTATCCCCAGGTGATCTTTCCAGGGCAATAAAACGATGGCAGAGAACAAATGTCACATTACAGCTGCATTATAGATGTGTAGAGCATTATTTTAGTCCACCCTGTCTTGGCCAAGATGGGAACTGTTTATATCGGCCTCACAGAGCGGCTGGTTCTTGCTGGAAGCCAGCTCTGTCCTGGGGCGAAAGATCAAAGCCAGGGCAGCTCGGCCACACGTCGCACATGCTCAACAGACGTGCTCGGCTTTGGAAAACACGCAATGGGTGCAACATGAAGAAAGCCAAACTCACTCTGCGTTAGTATTAGCAGCCAAAGCAACAGTGGGTATAGCTACAGGTGTCGCAGTCCTTGCAGGTAGCACTGGTGGCACGGTGCCACATGGCACAACCTCAGGTTCGTTTGATGCTGAGCTGGCATCAGCCTGTAACGAAGCGGTATCACCGCACATGTCCTAACACCGTTGTGCAGCGTTGCATCTGATGCAGAACAGGGGCTGCAGCCCCGACTGTCAAGGAACTGGGCATCGCCTGGGATTCACCGTTTCCTGGCTCGAGCAAATCCCTTTTAGCAGGCTGCACTGCCAACCTGCTGGTTACGGGGGCACCGCTGGGGTGCAGCCCACAGCTGGCCTTGCACGTCCCCCTCTCCCACTTGCCACCCACACCTTGGTGTTAAATAACTGGGAGAGGTTGCTTCACTCCAGAGAAGCGGGGGTGGTGTGAACTTTAGGGTTAATTACTGACGAGTCTCATATCAGCGCTCTGCCGTGCGGCCTCCACCTCTCGTCGTCAACAGAGATTTTTAACGAACTATCCTGCCACTTTGGGCCGCCAGCAACATCCCACACGTAAAGCTTTGCCCCCCTTGGGCTCATAAGGATAACAAAGGGGAAAAAAAACCCATGCAGCTTACCACCACCGAGATCCCCATATCTTCAGGTCCATTCCCTGCATGACCCGGGCGCCAATGGCCTGCTCCAGGGGTAACTCCCCTCTCCCTTTTGAGGGTGATCAGTCCTAATTCCTCTGCCAGGCTTTTCTTTCTTCCTTGCTGGTGGCCAGGGACCAGTTTTTATGTTTCCAGGCCTTTCTCCTCTTCCATTCACTTAATCCCACCCGGCGCAGCCAGCACAGGAGGTCCTCGTTACCAGGGTGCGGGCTCCAGGAGGGCTGAGTCTGCAGCTTGTCTCCAGCTGCCTCTCTTCACCCTTTCTGGCTCTAAAGAGCCTCACCTTGGCTTAAAGGGACCTAGCCCTGTGGCTCTGTCCTGTGGTCCATACCCCCCCAACCCTAACCCCCGCCATACCAGGGTGACCCCCCCTCTGTTACACTCCTCTTAGTGCAAGCAGGATCTCCAGCTGCTCGGTCTCTGCTTACTGAGCGTGCGATATGCTCCTCACCCTCGATACCGTGGCTTGGTGTCTGGTTTCCTCCGTCTACCTGTTTGCTGGTGGTGTCACTTGTGCCGAGATGCTACCACTGAGGCGACGCTGCGGTGCCAACCTTTGCACAGCTGCTTTCTGCTGCCTTATCAGGGCGGGGGAGCATGCCCCAGATGCTAAGTAGCAGGGCTTTCTAGAAGCGGTGTCCTCTTTTGCTGGTCTGGAGCTGGAGCTGAGGGATCCCTTGTATTCCTGCCTGCCTGGGAGAAATGAGATTAAAAAGGAAGGGCAGGCAAATCCCCACTGGCCGCTGCTGCTCTGGGGGAGGCTTTTCCCTGCTGGAGGCCCTCTCTCTGTCTCTCAGAGCAGGGGGGGAGTGTACCCCATGAGCTCCTGCATGCCCTGCCTAGGTTGGGCCCTGCTAATCATGCAGCAGCTCGAGAGAAGGACTCTGTTTGGGTTTAATTATATTATATTTTCTTTCTGGGGGCCACAGAGCCTGTCTGTGCATGTGTGTCTCTCTGAGCCTTCTTGTGCAGCCCTGGACTTGCTTTGGAGTATCTAACGCTAGGCTCCAGCTTGGCTGCTCTCTTGTAGACCTGCCCTGGTCAGGATGCTGCTTTAAACCATTCAGTGGGCAGGACTGTTTGCACCTCGGCAGCAAGGAGTCCTCATTGTGACCCACTTTCGAGCCCACCCTCTCTTAGCCTGTTTCCCCCGGCATGACTCACCTGGGTGGCAACTGTGCTGGCATCGCAGGTACAGGAGCTGCGTGGGCCTGGCGCTTCGCGTAGCATCGCTGCAGTCAGCGCGCTTTCTCTCTGCTGCCTGTGGGTCTTTTATCGGGAGCGAGAAGGGAGCTGTCAATCCAGGGAAAACCCATTCATCCTGGCATGGTGGAGCAGCAGAACCACCCACCTGGCAGGCTGCTGGATTACGGAGGTGGCGGGCCAGCAACTGCGTGGCAGGGGAAATCTCATCCAGGCCTACCTGCCTCCCACTCCCCTGACGCCCCCACTATCCAGCCCAGGGCTAGAGGAGGACATTCTTCTCTTCCCTGCAGCTTTCCATGAATTAGCCAGTTTCTTTTCATATCCCTAGTACCTTGCCACTCAAAAAGCCCAGGGAGTCCTTGAGCAGGGGGATTAGGGTCCCTCTCGCCCTACTTCTCTTTCTGAAATGCTTGGAGCCAAATTCTAGAGTATGTTTGCATTGCAGCAGCATGTAGAAATGTGCACCCCCCATCATGCTGCATGCTGTACACACACAGAGTTACAGTCAGCCCCTTCTCTAGAGACGCACAGTCTAGGCCGACAACAGAGGAGGAGAGGAAGGAAGGATTATTGTACCCATTTTACCAGGGAGAACTGAGGCCCAGAGGTGAAGTGGGCTTGTCTGAGGCCACATGGGAAGTGCGCAGAACTGACTTGCACACAGAGTGACTTGTGCAAGACAGGCAGAGCTGACTTGCCCGGCTGTGGCCCCTTTGCCCGAATTTGCGGAGGAGACCCTTGTCGGGTCCAGAGGACGCACGTTCCTCCTCAGGCTCAGAGAGTTTGACTGCGGGTCAGGTTTAAGGCCTCACCCTCTGTCTAGCAACCCTCACTCTTCGTTAAGGCTTTTGTACTGATTTCTATCCTTGCAGGGGTGAATGTTAGCTCTGAGTGGGGGG